CCTAATTGTGACTAACAAACAATATGAGTACTCATAATTTAACAGAGAGTTAAGAAAAAGAGTTAGAAACAGGGAAAAAACCAATCAGGCCTAAGTTCAAAAGGTTGTGGAACTTATGACCAAATGTCATACCACACAACAGCAACCAGGAGCCCCAAGGTATAATATCTGCATGTTCTTCTAACCAAGCTATCAATTTAACCGAATGCTATTGCAATATAAAGGAATGTGAAAATAACCACATCATCAAAAACTACAGAATTAAGTCACACTACAAAGAAACATGGCCCTTCGCTAAATTAAGAACATTGCTCACTTTAGAATAGTGACTAGATAAATGCCATAACTATCAGATTTAATGAAGAGCATATATAGATAAGTTTAATGAACAATGCTCTCTCAACTAATGGTTCAGCCCAACAACAAAAACTTGGCATTGGAGATAAGTTTTTCTAGAAAACACAAAATGATAGTGTACATTTATGAAAGAAAAACAAACCTAGTTTAATAATAATAATAATAAGTAAGTTTTGTTTCATTCACCCTATTACATAAGTTCAAGAAAGAGTATTAGAATAGAAAATAACAATGCTAGCCTTTTGCAACATTACAATACAGAGTTGTTTGCAACAGGATCCTTGATTACACGGCAATTCTTGTATTTTGCCTTTTGGATCATTGACTACGCCTCCATAATCAATGGGCAATTCTTTGAATTTCACCTTCTGGATCATTGACTACGCCTCCTTAATCAACGGGCAATTCTTGAATTTCACCTTCTGAATCATTGACTATGCCTCCATGATCAACAGGCAATTCTTTGATTTCATCTTCCTCTGATGAACTGACGCTTGTAGCTGTAACAGCAGGCACTTCTTGGTTTGTTTGTTCTAGTGTGCTTTGGGACTCTTTGCTTTTGCCCCACACCACTATGTATAGTTCACTCATTATGAAAATGGGTCCAAGTATGCTAAAAACCAGAAAAACAATACCCACTCAAACTCAGGGAATCATATCTCATCATATTTGATTTATTCTTGAAAACGAGTGGAGAAGGGATTTGAAAAATACAGAAAAATAGAATAAAAAATTAGGATACCTTCCCAAGTGGACCAATTCTTTCAAGACAATGGCCCCAAGAGCAACAGTGATGATCATGGACAGAGGACTAAACGATGTTGTGAAAACAGGACCTCTTTCCTTAATCACAACCCTTTGCACGTAATAAGCAAGTCCAGAGCAAATCACTCCCTAATCAAATTTCACAAGTTAGAATATTCCATTCCTCTTTTTGTGTTCATAGATGGTTTTCAGTTTTAAAGTTGAACTTACAGAGTAGGCAACAACAAGGAGCCTGTAATTGAAGCCAACTCTCCAAACAATCATGTCTCTTTCAAATATAAGAGACACCACAGCACCTTCCACTATTCCCATCAAGCATACTAGAGCTGCAAGAGAGAGTGCTACTGGGTACTTCTTTAGTGTGAAGGACTAATATCATGAAAAAACAAAAACCAGTAAGGAATTTGGACTTAAGATTACACCAAAAACTCAATCAATTAAGTTAAAGAGTTAGATTACTGACTTGTAATATAAAGAAGCCTAAGGCGTTGCAAATGCCTCATAGCAGATAAAGGATGCCAATAAAGCGATGATGCTTATTAGCGGATTCAGTGGTGTTTTGGATTGATCCTGCAAACTTGTTGAATTTGATGGTGGGACCAGTGTATAGAGTCATGAGCATTGCCCCCATCACTGTGATTATAGTTCCTACTACCGTGGCCACGCTATGAAACTTTTTCACATTCACCTTCTCTAGCCTAATTAAGTAATCATTGGAACATAATTAATTAATTACGCTTCTATGCAATGAATTCTGGTAGCTTAATACATTTTGTATGTGAAATGGAGTGATTATGAGTATTTTACCTGAAAATTATCATGAGTATGAAAGTAATGACAGGAAGCATATTGGCAAAGGTGGCTCTCATTGTTGCTGATGTGTGTGTAATCCCCACATTGTAGAGGTTCTGGTCTAGCACTGGCCTGATGATCACCCAATATTATTTAATTAATTTTGATTTAAAGAAAATAATTGCATAAAAAGATGAAGGAAATGATGCTAGAGGTTAAGAGAATTACTCAAGGATTCCAAGTGCCATTATCCTTAGAAAGATAGGCAAGGTTGATTGTGGCCTTACGTTCCTGCAAACATGAAGATAGATATTAACATTAGAAGAAACAAAACACGTACATGTTACATTTATCCAAATTAAGAAAGAAAAATGAGGGAAACTTAGAGCTGAGACCTTTTGAGGAAAAAGGCAAAGGGAGCAATGACAAGAAATGCAATAGCATGACGGTAGACTAAAAGAATATAGTGACTCATACCGGTCATCAAAACAAGAACAATGATAATGTTCAACCATGCAAAACCAAACTACAAAAGCACCATTGCCAAGAATGGTTTTGCTTTCTTCAGTCCAATCCATAACCCACCAAATCCTACCATCTTGATTTCCCCTGATTATTTCAAAGAATAGAAGGTAATTAGAAGAAAACATTTTCTTTTTTTAAGATAACATAAAGTTTTATCAAATTAAAAAAAATTTCAATGTACCAATTAAATTAAAGAAAAAAATTCAAACAACACTGGCTAACATAAAACCTTCTTATTATTATCTTTAAACAATTATAAAATTAACAGTACTTGATTGCAAGATAAAATTAACACTACTTAAATATTAAAAAATTAACACTACTTAAATATTAAAAAATTACCCAACTTCAACATCGCTTAAAGCCCAATAGTTATTATTATCCTTAAAGCCCAATAGTTATTGTTACGTATCACTATTATTGGTGTTTTCCCGGACCACATATGCTTAGAGATTTATTGAACTTAGGCCCAAGAATAAAACCAAAAAAAACAAAAAAAAAAAAAAAAAAGAGGAAGGAAAAGAGAAACTGCCTAGCCCTAATCTGCGCAATAACAAATGCTAACAACATAGTTAACCAACTCTATATTAGCTATTACCAAAAGTTTGTTCATTCATAGAAAAAAAAATGCTATTACAGAAGTTCCAATAGTGTATTACGTAAATAATAAAATATTATTTTAAAAATATTAACTATGACTATTTTAAGCCCTAATAAAATAACCTAATTCCAAGCCCACCTTTCTCTTTAAAGCCCTAAATTTTTAATTACTCTAACTCTTCCTCTTTGATCTACACTTTTATCGACAAATCTTCAATACTTCCCCCACTTTCTCAAAGTCTTCCTTCTATTTTTGCCATTCCTTATATGTTTTTTTTGGCAGATTCCCAATATTTATAAACACTGCTCTAATCCTTGAAAAATCAATCCCAGTTAAATGCCTCCACTTTTTCTTTTTTTTTTTTGGGGTAAATTGTAGATGTTTAATTGCCAAAATTGCACCATACACAAAGCAGAGATGGATAGGAAGCTACTACCAATTTTCATGTACAATGCCTCCACCTTCGAGCATACATTAAATAGAAAAATTCAGTCTTCCTTTTGGTAAGAATAAAATCAATTCAAAATTATTTTTCTTTATCTTGAATAGATTTGCACATGTAAATTATTATTATTATTATTATTATGCAGTAATATCCTAAGAATTATCCCCTGGTTCTTTCAAGGTTTGGAGTTTATTTTGCTTTTGTTTTAGTCTACAAATTTCTCTAATTCTTATGATGCATTTTCTCTCTTAGCCAAAAAGCAGGATTTGACCATAACAATAGTTGCCCATATCCATAGTTTTCATCCTGCAGGTGATTACTTGCTTTATAAGGTGGGATTTTGAATTCACAAAGAAATTTGTTAATTGTTAGAATGATTTTGGGTAGCTGATCTATTTCCACCGCTTCCCAGCAAAAAATGAAAAGCACAATGAAAAGCAAGGGGAATGCAAAAACCTTACCTAAAAACCACTGGCCGGAACTCTAAAATGATCGAATCTCTGCAGCTCGCCGAATATGAATCTCCAATCAAAGACAAAGTTTTAATGGTGAGTCTCTGTTGCTCGCTAACTATGAAACTGGGTGAAAGACAAAGTCTACAAGAAAGAGAAACTCTTAATGCTAAGTCTGAAACTCTGGATGAAAGGGACAATTTTTGCCATATTGAGAAGAATTTTGGCAGAGGGCAGTGTGAGACTACTTTTTATCTTCTCCTTTTTTTCATTTTTCTTTGAATTCTCTGAGTCTTTAGAACAAAAGAAATTTCTTTTTTTGGAATGAACAAAGTCAACATGATCTTAAGATTGTAAGAAAAGAAATTAGTTTTAAGTTTACATAACATTTTTAATCAAGATCCTCTTTGGTCTTCTGGCAAATGTATTTCTAAACTGCAGGAAAGAAAGATGGAAGGTTTAAAATGAAGGCAAAGTAGTGTATCCAAAATCTTGGTATTTATTATATAAAAAAAATATTTGTGCAAATTGTAGAAAAGGTTCCTAGTCCTTATTTGTAATTAGTTTTAAAAAGTCCTTATTTGCATTAAGTCTAAAGTTAGAGTCCTTTTATCTCATCTAAAGTTAGGGACTAATCTATAATAATTGTTAATTATAAGATTGCATGTTATTTTGATAAACTACAATCCAAGTGTCTATCTTAAGGGAAGTTTAGTGAAGTCCAGCTATTCATAACCTATTAAAATCAATGACTAGTAATTAGATGAGAAGTGGGACAAGTGGGGACCAATTAAAACCCACTTGACCGGAGGTTTTTGAGCCATATAACTAAATTAATCATTTTTTTGCATTTTTGTCTCTAGCTGGACTAAAAGAGAAGGAGATATAAGGTGCAAAAAGGTTGGGCAAACTTGAAGATTCTTAAAGAAACTTTGTCAAGCCCAGATTTTTGAACAAGTGTGTGGGGTAAGTGTTATTCTTAACTTTAAACTTAGACTGTCAAACATAAAAGGAGGAATAAATATAAGATAAATAAGGCATACAAAGGAATTATGATACTGCAGTTCAAGTTATACAATATAGAAGTTGCAATAAGTAAAGAAAGTATGGTTTAATTAGAATAATCTGCACTAAAGCCAATTTCTTAGTGAAATTAATTGTGGGGACAATAAGAATGAATTTAAACTAGACTATTAAGGTCTCATTGAGATTTACTACATGTTAATGAGTTAAATTTTGAAATTTTCATATTATGCATGTTTTCCCTTGTGATTCTATAGATTAAATTAATTGTTGAACATGTGATGCATGTTTCTATATGGTATATGTTTTTGTGGCATAATTTCTTTAGAACTATAGATAGTTTGAACCCCAACTTTGGCTTAGGGGTTAGAACAGTGAACAAGTGGACTTCTGCGCAGTACGTAAGTGCTATAGCAGTGAACAAGTGGACTTCCCAAGTGGACTAAGTCTTTCAAAACTGTAAGACTAAGTCTTTCAAAACTGTAAGCCCAAGAGCTACGGTGATGATCATGGATAAAGGATTAAAAGATGTTGTGAAAATAGGGCCTTTTTCCTTGATCACTACCCCTTGCATGTAATAAGCAAGTTTAGAGCAAACCACTTCATGATCAAATTTCACAAGTTCGAATATTTCATTGCTCTTTTCATATTCATAGATAGTGTTCAATTTTAAACTTGAACTTACAGAGTAAGCAATAACAAGGAACATGTAATTGAAGCTGACTCTCCGAACAATCATGTCTCTTTCGAATATAAGAGACATCACAATACCTTCCACTGTTCCCATCAAGTAGACCAAAACTATAAGAGAGAGTGCTGCCAGGTACTCCTTCAGCATGAATGACTGATATCATGAAAGAACAAAAACTAATAAGGAGTTTGGACTTAGGATTGCACCAAAAATTTAATCAATTAAGTTATAGAGTTAGAATACTTACTTGTAATGTAAAGAAGCTTAAGGCACAACAAATGGTTCCTAGCAGACACAGGATGCCAATAAAGCAATGAAGTCTATCACCGAATTCAATGGTGTTTCTATGGTGGATTGCTCCCATAGACTTGGTGAAATTGATGGCAGGACCAATGTCCAAAGTTAGAGTATTGCCCCTATCACTATGATTACAGTTCCTATCACCTTAGCAAAAAAACTTACCCATAAACCACCAACCATAACTCTAAAATGCTAGAGTCTCTGCAGCTTGATCACCGAATATGAAGTTTGGATGAAAGACAAAGTTTTAATGGTTTTAATGCTTTAAGTCTACATGAAAGAGAAACATTTTATGCTAAGTCTGAAACTCTGAATGAAAGAAACAATTTTTCCATTTTGAGAAGGGTTTTGGCAAAGGGCAGTTTAAATGAGACTACTTTATATCTTCTCCACTTTTTTCATTTTTCTTTGAGTTCTCTAAGTCTTAGAACAAAAGAAATTTCTTTTTTTGAAATGAACAAATAGTACCCTAGTTTTTTCCACATTGCAATTAAGTCCCTACAAAACGAAACCTTGGTTTTAAGTTTTCTCAATTCGGTACAAAATGATATTTAATTTACATTTAGTATTGATTTTTCTTGATAAAACTTCTCATATTAATTCCCATATCAGGTTAAAGCTCAAACATTTTAATATTTTCATTAAAAGTTTAAAATTTATGGAAAGTTAATTTTTTTTGTGAGAATAAAGATTTTTTTTTTGAAAATTCCATATTAACAAGATACAATTTGAGTTGTAACAAGTTTCAAGTGAAATTTTAAAACAAAATAAATTTAGGTAAAATTTTGAATTATGGAAGCAAACCCAAATTTTTGACTAAAAATTTTGCAAAAGAAACTAATGAAGAGCAAAAAATCAACAAAATTTTCTAAATTATCTTTAAGTTAATTCCTAGCCATTTTGCTTGACTTAAACATTTCTTTCATTCAATTCACCATAAAAACAACATTTTTCATAACAATGAAAAGCACAAAGGAAATGCAAAAAACTTACTTAGAAACCATCAACCAATAACTCTAAAATGATCGAGTTTGTAGCTCCCTGAATATAAGGATATGTTTGGATAAAAGTTAGTAAAGAAAAGTGAAGGAAAGGGGGGAAGGGAAGGAGAGTAAATAACTTACTCACATCGACCTTCTCTAGCCCGATTAATCAATCATTGGAACCTAATTAATTAATTGCAGTTCTATGTAATGTAATCTGATAGCTGAGTACATTTTGTATGAGAAGTGGAGTAATTATGAGTACTTTACTTGAAAACCATCGTAAGTATGAAGGTAATTAAGGGTTTAACTAATCGAAGTGATCGGTTTGGTTTGAGTTTTAAAGTATTGCCTTGTGTTTTTTCTAATTTAAATCACCTCTTTAACTTTTAAGTCGAATGAAATCATCCCTCATACTTTTTAGTTGAATTAAATTGTCTCAAATTTAATGGCTAATGTTAGTAAACATCAGTTTACTATGTTTCATTATTATGATTTCGTTAACTTTGTAAGGCTTAACTAATGGTACTACCCTACATAGGGACTTTTGCTCCAAATTTATACCAAGAATTTTATTCCTTTTTTTACCATAAAGCTCTAAGCAATTAGATCATCCATGATCCCTCTTCTTTTTATTCATTTTTTACTCTATAGCACTTGATAATACATAGAAAATGCATAGAAAACGCACAAAAAATGCACAAAAAATGCACAGAAAATGCACCCAAAAAAACACAAAAAATGCACAGAAAACGCACAAAAAACACAAAAAACACACAAAAAATCCATTTCATGGATATGCATTCACAAGAACACAAGATTCCAAAAATATTAACAAAAGCATAATATGGTACATTTAGTGATGAAGAATGAAGAGGCCAATTGCCACACAAAAAATAAGATGGAAATACATAAGTTGAGACAAGAGGGAGAAAATTAGTCAACCTAAAGGTAACAAGATGAAAGAAGCCCTAAAATGGAAAAACAAT